CTGGACAGCTGTGTTTGCTTTACGCATATCGACACATATGTGCACCTTGTCTGGATTGTTATGCTTAGCTAATGTTACGATTGGTGAGACCCACGGTGTTGGGCCTATCACACTACCCTTGTGAAACAGTGTGAACCGAACCAAACTTACATAATACTATTTCATCAGTAGGGCTCGCTTTGGTTCAGTTCTGGCTCGGCTCTCAGATAACAAAGAGCACATGAGCAGACTGCATCATCTCCTTACAGTCAGCCTCAATAATCATGAAATTTTAGAGATTCATAAAAATACTAGATTCGCTACCATGCCACACGATTTCCAGTAATGATTCTGCTTAGCAGTGTGATGAACCTCAACTCCTGTCATTGTTTCCTGCATCTCTAAGCCCTAATTAGACTATCATTTGTCATATCCACTTCCCAAAAGCCGACTCTGGCAAGTAAATTCACCAAAGGCTGCCTTCTTCGCATGACTTTCCGCAAACTTCCTGAAAGTTACTGGCGCCGCCATGTTGGTTTACTTTTTTACCTCTAGAGAGCAGTAATACCATAGATTGTCACTAGGAGGCAAGAAACCATGCTACTGTAGCATGATGTGTAAAGGAACCAAGCTCGGTACTCTTAAATCAAATCTCGGCATGAATCGGTTTTCAGAGGGTAGTGTAAATGGGAGCTGATATCTTCAGCTTTGAGTCTCAGTAGTTCTGCTTCGACTTTCTGTTGTATATGAAAAGGAACTCTGTGATTTGGCTAACATATGAGCTATATATCTGGATAATATGTAATGTCACTTGATAATCTTTGAGCCTGCCAATGCCACCAAACAGCTTGTTGTGGCTGGTCACAATCACATTTACCACAGTGGAGTTCCGTGAGGGAGGAAAGCTATCACTTTTAATGAAATAAAAGTACCTTTATTTTTAGGCTTGACTGAATTTTCTCTGCAAAGAGCCTCGAGATGACATGCTAGTGAACTGATGTTAAAGAAATAAATGGAACTGAATTAAATAAATATGCATATCTTTGAAAAGTCATTTGAAATCTGAAAAAAATGCTGAAAAACTAACTTTACCCTGATAATACTGGACTGCTAAATGAGATTCTGTTAATCTAAGTTGACAAATATGTCCTCAGAAACTAAATAACACAAAATTAACAGAAAAAATAAGACAAAAGGAGAGGCAACATATTTAGCTCTACATGCCTGACTGTGCTGACTCCAAGGCAGCGATAGTGACAGATAAAAACCCACACAGCTGTATCTCAGATCTGCTGGATGTACATGAAAACCAACAGTGCAGAGTGGAAAGATCCCACTCAGGACAACTTATTCTGTATCCACCAGCACCTTCAGGAGTGGTAGGTTTTCACGTGCTGTTGAGAAAGCAGAAGTTTAAAAATTTCCGTGGGTTTTAGGCTCCCTTGTTGAATGAAATTAGTTTTTGAAAAAAAAAAAAAAAACAGTCATCTAGGTTCACTTGAAAAGGATTTGATTTTGTTCTGCTTTTATGTTTAACCTAGATATGGTGTATTTTTAGCCCAGACACAATTTCTCCTTAATGGGTTTAAATCTGGAACAGTTGCTGCTGAGTAAATCAGCAACGCTCTCAGTTGCACATCAACGTGTCTGGTTTTGTTTTATTCTTCAAACGTTAATCTTTAAAATAAATATTTCCTTTTGTGATCCAGAGGCTTGATGAGAGTTTGAAAGAGACAGCCAGCTTGTGTGAGATGCAGCATCAAAGACACTTCTGATAGAAATTTTGGGGTTGAGTCTGTTCTGTGATCTGTTAAACTCTCTGTGCAGAGATCCCTCTAAAGATCAGTGGGGGATTGGTTTGATGATGGGTCTTTCGAACGTACAATG